TCACAGCTCCACAGACTTATTAAAAGGAGGGAGAGGGACTTTTTATACTGGTATGRAGTGGAATGGCTTCCCCCTGCCAGAGGACAGGGATGGGATATTGGGAAGGAATTGTTCCCTGGRAGGGTGGGGAGGCCCTGGCACAGGGTGCCCAGAGCAGCTGATTTTAAAAAATCACCAAATTCATGTGGAAAAGAAAGAGAAGCAACAGCCTGATACCAACTCAACTGTGCAGGAAAGGTTTTTATGGTGCCCAGACAACTCCTCCTGTTGTAACAAACATTAAATTTTGCCCCAGGATTCCCCTTCTAACTCAAGCTTTTTGTTCTCCCCTGGTGGCAGCTGCYACATATAAAAATGTCACTGAAACAAGTGACAAGCAGCATCCCCAGAGACCTGAGGGAAAGGCACAAGAGAAACCTCTCCCTTCAGGCTGTGGATTGAGGGGACTGGGGATGCCAGGCTGGGAGCTCAGGCCTCCTGCTGCTGCCTAAGGAAGAAAAAAAACACCTGTGCAAAGGTACCCCAGTGTTCTGTTTSCTAAGGCCAAAACTCCACATCTGAGCAGRGTTTTTATTTTTTMTTCTTTTTTTCTAGTGCTGGGCTCCTCCAAAAAGAGAAATTTTGTGGTATTTGTGAGTTACACAGGCTCCCCTCATTACAACAGAGGACAGGCAGCAAACAGGAAATTAAGAAAAGATTTGTCCACCAGGACAAAGCTCAGCATGAGAACCTGGGAACAGAAAAGATAGGAAAAATCCTAGGAAAAATCCTAGGAAAAATAGGGTTGGCCCACTGTTACCAAAGCTCTGCGACTGTTCCTTAAAAGAAAATCCCTTATTTCTCACTTCTTTTGAGATTCACTAAAGAACAGACGCTTTTCTATGTCCCCCAAGTAGATGAGCTGGGCAGCTCAGGATAAATGCACCCAACCTCCCTCCAAGCAGTGTCAAATCCTGGATTTTCCTACCTTTGCCAAGCAAAAAAAAATTAAGCAGMACCTGGTTCCCCTCTTAAGGGAAGCCACTAAAGACTTCAGCAAGGATTTCCCAGCTGTGAGCAGAGCACAAATGTCACTGAGAATGGAAAGGTGTTGTTCCATCACTTACTTTAGCAACCTGGCAGCCTGGTGACCCCACAGCTCCGGAGCAGCAGCTGTAGTGGGTTTCCCACCCACCTGGCACTGAAAGAGGAAAAAAGTGAAGGGTCAAGGAGAAGGGTCTTGTTAACAAGAGACCTGAACTTCAGCTCTCACGTGCAAATCCCCTGGATGAGGACAACAATAACGTGTCAAACTCGGGGGGAAAATAACTGGGGATGCACAGGCAGCAATCTGAAGAGTTTAAGYCTCTGGTAGTGAGCCAGAGAAACTYCAGAAGCCACTMAGACACTCGGATGGAAAACCAGAGCAGAGCTCAAACTAGGTTAGTGTCTTGCTGCAAATGAATTCAGCCAAGATCAGTAAACTCTCCTGGGAGTGACCTGTAGCACTCCCCTCACTCAGCCTCTGAAAATGCTGATTTTTTCCAAAAGGCACAGGAAGGTTTGGATTTTCCTTGTACTTTTTTAACAAAATTTGAGAGCAGTCCTTCTGCAGTGCCACATTTGGAGAGCTCCAAACCCTTTGCGAGGCCATTTCAGCCACAGGCCCAGGATCTGGCACCACCTGGGAGTGTCAGAAGCTCCAAAATTAAACCCAAACCCGAGGATCACTGTGAGTTTGGAGCAGGAGCACAGGCAGCACAGGAAAATGCTGATTTTTTTTTCCAAAAGGCACAAGAGGTTGGATTTTCCTTGTACTTTTTTGAACAAAGTTTGAGAGCAGTTCTTCTGCAGTGCCCCATTTGGAAAGCTCCAAACCCTTTGTGAGGCCATTTCAGCCACAGTCCCAGGATCTGGCACCACCTGGGAGTGTCAGAAGCTCCAAATGAAACCCAAACCCGAGGATCACTGTGAGTTTGGAGCAGGAGCACAGGCAGCACGGGCCAAACCCCCCAGCAGGGCCATACCTCTCTGCTTGCGCAGCCGCCCCCAGTGATGGACGCACTCCTCCTTGCGGATGCAGCTCCCCGAGGCTGACACCATGTACTCGGTGCCACAGCGACAGCAGATCCTGCACGAGGCTTGGGGACAGGGGAAAAACAACAGCCAGGTCACTGCAAAGCCCTCACCTGCTTCACCTGGCCAAAGCAAAGCTCCAGCCCCAAATCACGACCGCTCCAGCCCCAAATCATGACCGCTSCAGCCCCAAAAATGCTGTTAAAGGACATTTTCTGTCAAAAAGGATCCCAAATGTTGTTCCAAACTCCTACAAAAGCACAGCAAACCCTCTGAAAACACAGTCCTGTCCACAAACACTTCCCAGATGAAACACAAAGGCTCTCCAGAGGTTTTGGTGCAGTTCCACAGTTCCATCAGCGTTTGCTGCATTGTTTCTCCGTCCACAGCAAATTATGTTGGAGTCTAACACAGTTATTTTAAGAAACAGGATAAATAAGTCATTCTTTGGACACCAGAGCTAATGAAACCTGGTTTCCAGGGGCTCTGCACCTTGTCACTTGCAAATGACATTTCAGCTCTCCCAGGGCACAGCTTTTCTGTAAGGATTCTCAGAGCAGGGCCTGGCCCAGCAAGGAGGCAGTTTGGGACTGCTCCCTCCTGCCAGCTGCCCAAAATTTGGGGCAGAGAAATGCAAAAAACCACTGGGAAGTAGCTGACTCTCCATTCTTCTGATCTCCACACAATTCCATGAGTTCCATGGAGCATTTAAGCTGTTTGCACATCCCCAGCCTCACTGGTCACAGCATTAAGAAACCTGCAACAGCTTTAGTTAAATTAGGAGAAATTCAAAGATCATGCAACATCTGCAGGAAACTACAGACACAGAAGCAGGACCAGGATCATATAAAGGAGGTGACTGGTTCCCCAGAAAAAAAGGGCTCTCACAAACACAGCACTTGACAGTGTTAATGCAAGAGAGCTTTTGCCCAGGTTGCTTCAGCAACCACAGGACAAATGTAGGCACAAGGTGTTAACATGGATGAGCACTTAACACACTTTAGTGAGGTCTCTCCACACAGATGCTCAGGGGAGCGTGGCAAAGCACCTCAAAAGCAATCCCCAGCCTGGGTTTTATCRCTGCTGCAGCACAGCCTGCTTTAGTCAGGGTGTGAGGAGCAGAAATCCTGCTGTGAGTTCAGAAAATTCAGAGGAGGAAATCTGTGGGATCAAAGCCAGGTTGGACAGGGCTTGGAGCAACCTGGACTGACGGAGAGTGCTCCAGGAGGTGGAATGAGACAGGCTTTGAAGACCCTTCCAATCCAAACCACTCTSTGATTTTAGGATCATTTTGTCCAGCTGCAAAAAGGGCTTTTGGGAACTATTTGGCCCAGCACTGCCTCAAGATCCAACACAGAAAACTCTGCAATCCAGAGCAGCAGAGCCACTGCAGAACCAGCCCAGCCCAGGGTCAGTCCTGATCCCACCACAACAGCAGCTCACAGGCACAGAGACAGAAATAAATCCTGCCCCTGGGAGTGGGGATGGTGAGCAGGTGCAGAGCAGGAGCAGCTTTCCATCCTGCTCAATCTGGCAGCACAGAATCATGGAATTGCTAAGGCTGGAAAAGACCTGCAAGATCAAATCCAACCATCAGCAGCACCACCATGGTCACAGCTAACCCACATTCCCAAGTGCCACAGGCCACACATTTTTGGAATATTTACAGGGATGGTGGCTCCATCAATGCTTYACAACCCTTTCAGTAAAGAAATTTTCCCCAATATCCAATCTAAACCTCCCCTGGCTGGACTTGAGGTTGTTTCTTCTTATCCTGTCACTTGTTACTTGAGAATTAGAAATCTCCTTCAGCCTCACAGACTGTTCTGGGTCAAAACCAACGTTTTCATTATGTGCAAGCTGAGGAAACTCTGCATGAGGAATGCAGCACTGGTCACAACGGGATTTCCACAGTGAGACCTTCACACAGAGCAGGACAAACCCAAATGCTGCAGCAGGGAGAGCCAGCAGAACTTACAGTCAGTCACTTTCTTCTCATCAGCGGTGAAAAGCACAGCACGACCGGCCTTGTCAGGGTGAGGCATTGGGTAACCGTTCTCCTTGAGCTGCTCCTCACTCATCAGGTACTCCTTGAGGCGCCGGTACAGAGCAGCTCCTGCACACAAACACAGTGCTCACATCACATCACTCCAGCACTGGCTGCTTCTCTGGTTTTATAGAGTCCTGGCTGGATAAACTGCCCCAAATCTATGGGGTTTGCCTCCACTGCCTCAGCCCAGGATGGACAGGTGTTGGGTGGTCATTTTTAAAATCCGGGCATTAGTGCACAAGGTGATTTTGAAATTCCTTGAACAAGCAGCAGCAGGTCTGGAAAGAGCAGCTGGAATAGAGTTCCTTCAAAGGGCCCATCTGCAGCCTTTTTGTGACTGATAGAACCATGGAATAATTTGGGTTGGAGATCATCTCATCCMACCYCTGCCATGGCAGGGACACCTCCCACTGTCCCAGGCTGCTCCCAGCCCCAATGTCCAGCCTGGCCTTGGGCACTGCCAGGGATCCAGGGGCAGCCACAGCTGCTCTGGGCACCCTGTGCCAGGGCCTCCCCACCCTCCCAGGGAACAATTCCTTCCCAATATCCCATCCATCCCTGCCCTCTGGCACTGGCAAGCCATTCCCTGTGTCCTGTCACTGAATGTGAGACTTCTCCCATATTAATGTTAATCAGCTATAGCTGATAATTGGTAACACAGCCCTCAAACACCCCTCAAAGGCCACCCACAGCTCCCTAAAAACTTCATTACCAGAAGCTTCTTCCTGCTGCTGATTTCAGGCTCCTCGTTTCATTTCACAGAATAATTACAACTTCTTGYACTCTGCTCGATATCTCCTTTGGCTGCTAAACCCTTCCAATATTGCTGGGTGCCCTTTGATGTTGCTTAGCTGAGCTATACTGGCCCTTTTAAGCTTTCTCCATGTCAATTCCTTCTGCTCTGTGGCCTCCCTGTCTCTTCTCTGATCTCCTCCACAATTTGCCTACATCTCTTGGCAACCAAAATACCCATAACTGATTGGAGCCCACATGAAAAATGCTCGTGGCACAACCCTTTGGCTACGATATGACCTTACTGTGACATTGGTGGAAGTGAAGCCGAGCCCTGCAGAGAGGGCAATTTTTAAAGTTTGCCTTTTAATCTGACAGGCACGTTGGAAAGAACAGCTTCAGGGCAAGAAAGTTAAAGTAAAATAATGCCCAAAGCACAAGGGGCAGCTCTGAATGGTTATTGATGCTCCATCAAAGGCAGGCAGGCTGCAGCAGTGACCTCCCAGCCTCAGCGAGGATTGAAGGAGGGCACTGGTCAGTGGTGTCACTGTCCTGAGGGACTCTGTGCTGCAGACAGGTAATGACTGCTACCACTGCCCACAGAGAAATCCCAGCACTGCAGAACATGGAATTCTGGAATGTCCTGAGTGGGAAGGGACCCTCAGGGATCACCATTCCAGCCCCTGGCCCTGCCCAGACACCCCAAAATCCCCACCCTGTTCATCCCTGGCAGCGCTGTCCAAACGCTCCTGCAGCTCTGGCAGCCTCGGGGCCGGGACCATTCCCTGGGGAGCCTGGGCAGTGCCAGCACCCTCTGGGGACAGAAGAACCTTTCCCTGAGATCCATCCCAAGCCCTGACACAGCTCCAGCCATTCCCTGGGCTCCTGGTCCTGTCCCAGAGCAGAGCTCAGCCCCTGCCCCTCCGCCTCCCCTCGGGAGGAGCTGCAGCCCCYGAGGAGTCTCCCCTCAGTCTCCTCTGCTCCAGCTGAACAAGCCAAGAGCCCTGAGCYGCTCCTCAGACCCTTCCCCAGCTCTGTGTCCCTCCTTTGGCCACTCTCCAACAGCTTTAGATCCTCCTGATCTYGTGGTGCCCAAAGTGCTCCCAGGACTCGATGTGAATGCACCAGCCCAATTTTGCTCCCCCCCAACCACTGTCATCCCTCCATCCCCACCCTGACAAGTCACAGCCCAGCAGGAGCAGGGTCTGACCTGTCAGATCCTCGGCTCTCAGGCTCCCTGAGCGGTTCAGAGTGAAGCTGGTCTTGGCAGCAAGCTTCCCTCCCAGCACAGCTTCRTGAGACACCACCTTCTTGTTACTGGTCTCTGCAATGAGAAGGGAACAGCAAAAGGGGACAAAGAGATTAGACACCCAGTGAGCAACTTCAGTTCCAGTTTGGGGCACTGCACGTGGGCAAGAGGAGGACTGTGTTTATCCTCTTGAACTCTTATTTTGCTCCAGAAATGCAAAGTGCCAGGTGCTGTGTGCCAGGTGCTGGCCCAGCATTTCCATTCCAGCACCACACAGAGTTTTCAGTTCACACTGTCAGCCCACAGCAGTTTTAAGGGCAACAAAGACACTTTTAAAGTTCTGCTAAAAACCTGCAGCTCTCCCTGCTCACTCTGCACAGTGAGCCCTCACACTGACCAAAAGCAAGAGAGGAGCCAGCACAGAAACAACTTGACCCCTTCAAGTGCTGTGTGGGGGCATCACCCACCCCCAGGAGCAGCTTTGTTGTTRGGGCCCTGCAGGGCAGCCTCTCACACAGAATCTTTCAACTTCTCTCAGAAAGGAGCTTCAGAGCTCCAGAATATGCTCAGCACATCAGATAATGGCAGAGAGGGGCTTTTTACTAATCATTAACTGGCAGCCCTCTCCTAAAGGCCAGCCTCCAAGTTCAGCTGCTCTGCCTAATGGCCAGGAACGTAATGAAGACAGAGGGGAGAAAAGGGAAGAGACCAGGGAAAAAAAAAAAATTCACAAGAACAGCACAAATTGATTGTTTAATGTACCCTCTCGAGAGCCAATAATGAAATGTCTTAACCCTCTTCGTTTCTCTCTTGAAGCTTAATGTGTGTAACAGATTTCTGTGGTGATGGACGAGTCTATCACTTTGAAGGCATCATGTGAAAGTTACTCCATTAGCAGGGCTTTTCATTTGAAAGAACTTGTGCTAAAAAAAAAACAAAAAACCCGCGCAGCATTATCTCCATTTAGCCAGAGAGAGCCAACAAAGCATCGCAGGACCTGCCTCTTGAAGGCCCATTAAAGCTCACCAGGCTATAAAAAGCTAAACTGGAGCTGTTTGCCTTTCAGCACAATGCTAAAGAGAAATGGGTTCTGGCTTTTCAACAACTTTCTCTGGGTGGTTTGAGGTCCCAGCWGGGCTCAGGTACCTACTGTGGGTGCTGGGGGGGGAGTTGGGCACGAGGCTGCGGAGCTTCTTCAGGGTGTTCACGGCCACGTTCAGGTAGATGTTGCGGCTGGTGCTGCGCTCGTAGGCCACCTTCTCCTCTGC